TGCATTCTGTTTCACCGGAATCGGCGGTGGTGGTAGAGGAGGATCCGATTTGACGGATTTGAAAGAATCTGTCTTGACAGGAGCGTTGGCGGTGGTGGTGGCATTTCGGTAATTATCGTTGTGAATTTCACTGTGAGAAGTCGATGATCTACCTCTGAGAAGAGGAATCTCCGTAACGGGTCCTGATTTCTTCTTGTTCTTTGAATAAATCACATTCTTCTCTTCGTCTCCGACGATCTCTTTTCTGAAACTGCCGGTTTTGTTGTTGTCTCTCTGACTCTGTAACTTTCTCCAATACAACACATCGAGACCATTCTCGTCCAAGATCAAACCTTTCACGTTTCCACCGAATCGGGTAAATCCCTCGCGAGCCAACGTCGCTTCACCCAACGGAGGAGCCGGCGGGAGAGTGTTCTCGACGCCGACTCTTTCTTTCCGTCGCCGCCGCCGCGCGACGGAGGCTATATGGACGAAGAAGAAGAACACGGCTGCTACAAGTAAAGTGCTTGCAGCTGTTATGAGGACAGCCCTCGTGATCTTTTGTCTGTCCGAAGACGAAGACGGTGGTGGTGTGTTTTGGTGCGGGAGAGGAACCGGCGGCGATGAAGGAGGAGCGGAGAGAGTGTCATTTGGGAAAAAAGTTTCGATGTTTCGGGGAAGATCGGATTGAGAGAAGGAATCATAAGGGAAAAGGAAGATTAAAGAGAAACAAATTAGGGTTAGACGAGGAAGAAACAACGGCCATGGCTGCTTCGACATGGCAGCCATGGAAATTTAACTCATTTGCAGAGAATTTTGAGATTGATGAAAAAGGGAAACAGAAAAAAAAAAAAAAACAGTAAAAGGTAACGTCTTTTGTTATATTTTTGTTTGGATTTTTTCAGTTTCAGAAAATCTGAAGAAGTTATTGGGTAAAATTTGTTTCTTTGTGTTGAGGTTTGAGTTTTTCTTTGGGACTACGTCGTCTCCAAGCAGAGTAGGTGATCTGTTTTATACATTACGAAAATACCCTTCGTTGTGGAAGTAATGAATGAAGAAATACAGGGGATGTTTTGGTCATTGTTTACGATTTTCAAATTTTTTCGTGGTAAAGACTCTGCGCGTTGGTCTTGTTGTGCTGTGAACGAAGTTTTGGGTCGTGGGATTGACCTTATCTTTGACTTGGTCTGAACGAGTGCTCGGTCATTTGATTTTTTTTTTTTAAAATAATCTAACTCAATAAATATTTTAGATTTGTTTCTTAATTGGTCCAATCACCTTATAATTTATGCAAAAACAAATCAACTGGAATCACAATTTTTTAATGGATGACGGATAAATTTCTAACCGAAAAGGTTGATTTATATCCGATGAGAAGATTCACACATGTTTTCACAGATAGTATTAATACTTACACAAAGTCATAGATTTTCTTTGTGTTTTTACATAAAACGACGTTGTTTTACAATACAAATACTCATTTAAATAAAAAGCGTCATTAGCTAATTCATACTCCTATATCATTTTGCACTAAAAAAGACTATTCATGGAGTTTAAACCAATGTGGATCCTGCCACTTAAATTTATGTTCGTGCAGGATAATTTGAATTTTGTCTTGCTACTGTAGATATTACAAATGTCTATAAAGACAAAATCGATATTTTTCTTGACTAATCTATCGAAATATGCAGAAAACAATTATTTTGTAATTTAAGGAAATTCATAGACAAAAGAAAAATCACATCAATTTTGATTTATAACAAATGGAATTCAATATCTAGCATTGACTCACATGAATATTCATTCGATCAAAACCGCTAGATTTTACGCCTTTTGGAAGAAAACAGAGAAATTACAGTTCAAAATGGCTGAATATTTTTTAATGTGTCAACAATAACTTTGTTTAATCCAAAGAACTCAACAATGAATTTGTAATAAAGAGAAGGTCGGAGAGTTTTGTGTATTATAATTTAAACTCGGAATAAGTGTTAGGAAGTAGACCGCAGCAGATAGTCCGGACAGATTTCGGTCTATCAGATTGCTATGGATCAGAAAGAGCGTGGTAGACCGGACAGATCCCGGGCTACACAGTTCGTCGCGAGCTAATAAAG